TACTTTTAGAAAGTAACTTGCGCTCAACTTTGAATGTATAATGAGTACACGCACATGGGCAATATGAATCTTACATTAATATTATTATCATTGGCCATAACACGATGCAGTCTGCTGACATATGAGGAAGGGTCTGGGGACTTTATTTTATTTTACAAAATGTTATATTTTTTCGTTTAACGGTATGACCATAAAATCATAACAACAAAAACAACAACAACAACAACAACAACAATAACAACAAACAACTATAACAATAATAGCGATGACAATTCTGTGGCGATATGTTTATTGTACGCCCGTGATGGTCTGCAGCCACGGTTTGTAGTACGTAGTCCTCATATAGACGCCCGGCAGATATGGCGCGGCACATTTGATGCCATGAGACACCGTGCCGATGAGGGTCCAGCGGCCATTGTCCTTCTCGATCATCAGAGGTCCACCACTGTCACCCTGTAACGAGAACATTCGTGAAAAAAAACATACACATTAGTTCCAAGATCAATCTGACTGCGAAAGGTTATTTKAATTATTACGGTGTGCATAATTTGGCTATGGGACTTAGACGTTAATTCTCGTAAAAATAATTCAGTGGTTGTAAAGTGTTAACTAAATTAATTGTAAAATTATTCAAATACCTATTGAATTTTACTTTCAAGTACCTAATTAAATTGTATTATTTAAAATATATATGCCTTGGGGTGGGAATTATTTTATTACCACTTTCTTCTCCTCCCAACTTATCTTTAATCACTTTTTACAACATCAGACCTTCACTCTGACCGCCACCGTACTTGGCATGAAATCACTTACAGTTCTTTTATACAATAGTCTAAACAACTATTTAGTATATTATATATATTTTGGATAAATAAAATCATTGACTTACATGTATATTAATAAAATATGCTATTAAATGTTATAGAATTTTTGATAAAAATAAAATWAAAATAATCAATAACATTTCTACCGTCAACTAACTGTTAAAATGTACCGAAAGGAGCATTAGCAACTTCGCTTACCTCYCTCAAATGCACCATTGATTATGTTGTGCAACAATTTCGTTATTTCAAACTTCATTTGAAYGTAATTAATYGTGTAATGACTTTTCATTAAAAACATTGTAATGAAAAAAATGTAATTCCATAACATCAATTAATTTTAATACATTGATAGTATTTGTATACAGATTTCAGATTAACATTTCAAACAAATATAATGTTACTTAAATAGAAAAATTACTTGTTTAAAAATAATAATATAAAATAATATTATAATCAATCAATCAATCTAATAAGCATTATTATTAAATTTTAAATTGAAATATTTTTACGATTGAAAGGTATTTAAGTAATGTGTAAAAATTTATTTTCAAAGTGCACACCTTGCAACCATTATTTATTTTAATAACATTTTTAAAGTGACTTTTTGCTTATTTTTTGTGGGTAAAAGTAAAACACATACAATTACATTTTCTATACAATTTGAACGAAACTATGAAATTTCCATTTTCGATGTAAAATAAAGAACATTTCAAGTGTAGGAATTCAATTTTTTCAGAATTTTATWTTCGAAGTCTACTACAGTATTATGATAATTCAGACTGAACGTACCTCGCAAGAATCCCTCTGTCCGTTGGCATAACCGGCGCACAAGAAGCTGCTAAGTATGGACTTTGTGTGTCCTGCTGTCTCAAACATGTCCTGGCACACTTGGTTTTCAATTATAGGAACTTGCACTTCTTGCAGGATGCTTGGAACTCCACCTCCTGTTTGAAAATAAACATGAAATGTATAACAATGTGATAATACTGCAGGGATCATTAATATATTCACAGCCTCAAACAGATCTCAACTCACTGGATTTTCTAGCTAAATAACTATAATATTGTATGTTATATTATTACACTTGTCTTATAACTCATAGTCATAAACTCATAACCCATCACTGACGAAGTTATGACTAAAATTCATTTCCTATGTTGTTAAATATTTTAACTTTCTAAATGATATTGAAATGAGTAATTTGGACTTATGCATAGTACGATGGATGTGGAACTATTTATGAGAACAAACAAATTTGATAGTTGTTTGACAAAGGGAAACATGTTAAGCCTAAAAAAAAWTTTCCCCGTGGGCTACGGCCCTTTATACAGTTTTACTAGTAGCATAAACTTTGAAGTGAAAAATTAAAATTGGCCCCTGGTAAAAACGAAGTCGAACCATTTTTGAAAGTTTTCTAATAATATCTAAAAATTTACYAAYAGACTTGTTGGATGGTTAAATCGAAGACTTGYAATTTTTAAGTTTGCTTTAAGTTTATTATTATTATGGGTACACTGGTATAATTTACGTATTAACAATAGTCGTAGCAACACAAGTCAATTACTTAGTCCAGTAAGTATAGTAGTAACTTTCTTTAGTAATTTACGTTAAAAAATAATGATTAATAAATTAAATTTATACTTAGAGTATAGAAGAAGTATAAAATAATAGTATAAGTCTACGAGTAGCATATTTAAATTTAAAAAAATCCACAGCCATACAGCAAGTGTGTATGTTAACATTGTTAACACAGTCAGGTATTGAGGTACCTATAGGTCAAGTCTGAAAAATCTGCATAATCTGCAAGGGCTAATTATACAAGCTGGATTCTAAACTTAAGACCTGATTATTATACTGCCTTCCCATTTTTTCTATCTTATATCAATATAAATGCAAATACAAATATTTTGAATTATAAGTTAGGAATTAGCCAGCAAAAACTATTGAAGTATTATACGATGTTCACCTAATTTTAAATYGACGAAAACCGCTTTTTACGATTTCATATTTTACTGACGAGTGATTTACGAAGGATTGTTGAATAAGCTTCTTTATATTATGCAAATGTAAGGTTATTGGTCGTGGTGAATMCTATGGTTTACGCAGTGAGGTATCGATTAACGAGAGCGTATATTATTGAAATAAATCKAAAATTGGTTTCTCAATCGAATCGAATATTTTCCACCGAGTACATTATATACCTAATACCTATAGCTAAGTCCTATATACCTGTAAATAATTAACGATTCGTTCTTGGACGTCAAAATCAATTGATTTTTAACAGAAAAGTCAGTATTTTTTTTTATAAAAGTTGAAAAGCACAATCATATGAGTTTAGATAAAACTGTTGCGTGAGGGAGATCTCAATAGCTGGTAGCTCCGCTACATTTGATTATGCCTGTTGTCTACTACATAGTTGCTAATTTAGATTGAAAATTATTTCAGTACTCTACTATAATAGAACATATCCTGAACTATATCCAACACTATAAAAAGTCAATAAAAATGTTGAATATGTCTATATGTTTACATATGAGTTTTAAAAATATGAATTAGACTAATATCGTATTATAGAAATTAAATTTCCAATTTGTTATGAATTTTAAAAAAATAAACACAAAACTGCGCAATATTAACTTTTATAGTTCCACGTAATTTTAAATTTGAATCTTTTTGTACGAATATATTTCTGCAGTCATTATTTTAGATTCAGAGCGGAGCAATTTTTTGGTATTGATTTTACCATGATGTGTGTTTTTTTTGTGTGTCTGTCATCACGTTTTGGGGCAGTAAAAGTGCTTTGATTTTTGACTTCTGCAGTACCTCGTTCGATCAGAAAGTGAATCTAGTTGGTACTTTGGGGGATCAAAAGTGGGTCTAAATAATCGGGATAAACAAACTAAAAATTAAGGGAAAAACGGGAAACTTTACACATAATCAGTTTTCAACAAAAAATTTTGATGTAACTTTAAACAAATCACCATAGATACATGACATTTTCACCGAATGTTTATATAAGTATATACTATCCACCATGCAATTTTCAATAATTTTTGACTATTGAGTATATTCGACTATATGAACTATTCATAGGTATTTGCAATTTTAGATCATTATTAGTTTTTTTTWAAATTAATATCGATAAAAATGTATTTGTTGGGTAGAAAAGCTTAGTAACTAATTCAAGGCTCTTATCATATTGTTGCAATAGCAGTTGAAAAATAAAATAAATTCATAGTCACAATTTTTTTTACAAGCATTCAAAGTTCGAATTTTGACAAAATACGTAAAAATCACGAAAATTCGCAAATTATTTTAAGCTGGAAATTCATAAAATTTTTCTTTTTAAATCTAAGATTTGAAAAATTTTAATAATCTATAATACGAGTATATCCTAAACAGATAAACCGTCTCCACTCAGAATCGTTTTTCGTATACAATGATATAATATCATTGGTTTCAAATTTAATTTCATCCATTACAGTAACCCACTTGTAACCTACTATACAGCAGAGCGACATCCACGACTTACCCGCTTTTTATTTATTATGATATTAAAATAATAGATGTGGATAGATTTAATATTCTAATGTTGTACAATGAATTATRACTTMAACAGGAAAAAACCGCGAGATTGATAAAACGGAACCCTCACGATTTATTCCATACATTTTACATGCCATGCATCACTGGAAATGATCTTTTATAATTTTTGAAAAATATTTGTGGTCAGAATATTTTAAAATAAATACTTATGGTAAATTATAATAATATTGCCTAGTAGTAGGTTATACCTTTTTTGTGGTGCTTTATGGCTAATCACGATGAATACAATTTTATTGAGTTATTGAAATATATAAATTTACAAAGATAGAAATTTAAAGTACCTACGAGTATATTGAGTGCTTTCCTATATTAAGTGGTGGGGAAAAAGGCAAAATTATTTTTGAGTAAATAGTRAAAGATCTCTTTTTTTCGGCGATAGTGACGGGTGACGTCCCGTCAAAACGATCGCTCACCGTATTTCAACCGTCCCCATCCTGTGACCACTGCCATACGTCCCGTGAAGTCATCCTCGTCGTCCGGCATACAAATGGGCACTATGTGCTGGTCGTAGCTGACCGGTGACTCGAGCTCTAGAAGGGCTATGTCGTTTTCGAAAGTTGCTGCGTCGTACTGCCGATGGACAATGACACGTTTCACATTCTTGCTGATGCTCCGCTTGGACTCGACCTCGCCGCTGATGTCATACTCACCGAAAACGGCCACTAGGTTCGCCAAAAATCTACGGACAACCGGAAACGACGATAACTCATTATTACGATGACGAAGCATCCGCTTTAGTGCACGCGTTYGCAACAATATAATAAGTAATAACTATTATCTTTGCTGTGGTACGATTATTATATTATTACAAYTACATTATTTCATGTTGGAATGTYGGCCACGACCACAAAAGATTTATAAGCTACCTATAATAGATTATAGAAATTCTGAATATGGATATAAAATTATATTGAAGTTGGATTCTTAAAATTGGGTTGCAATGAGAAAAAAAAGAAATTAAAGTTTGGTATCACTATTAGGCAATTAAAAAATATTAATAAACTAGAAAAGTWATTGTTTAAAYGATGTTTTTCTCATGTTTGAAATTTCGGAGTTAAATGTATTATTTTTGTTCACTATTCATGCCTATCAGTATCAGGAAACAATCATGGTAGATACGGAAGTGTTGTAATAAGAGTAAAACATATAGCGTCCACCTATCGGCCATAATTCTTACGTTGGGTTCGATCGATTTCAATTTAAGTACAATACCCATCTTTATGATAAGATAATTGGCGCGCCGTGCGCGACCTCTTTCCGCGAAGAGCCTCTCGGCGCTGACCTAGTTTGTGTTAACTTTCAAAGCGAACGAGTGTATCTCAACACGCGACGGAAAAAAAAAAAAATTACGTTAACTAATAAAAGTATGTTAGAACGTAAATTGCACGACGTTAAACTTTAAACAATTATAATAATAATAATGATGATGATGYYGAAAATGACGATGGCAATGATGATATGGTAATAATGATTATAATAATAATTATCATTATTAAAATTATACTATGAGTAATTTAATAATCAATTGTATCCATAATGTTACATAGCAGTAGCAAATAAAATAAACAATGCAAATATAAAATCGTCAAATAATAGCAATCCAGACTAAAGTTGGCCAAAACTAAGGTTTTGAATTCGATGAAATAAGTATCTAACTAAAAATGTTGAAAACTGCGTTGTAAATAATCTCAATTGGATGTTAATTTTTTGAAACAGGATATGGAGTCAGTCAAGCAAAGTTTACCCTTCTCCTTCCAATCTACCATGCCATGAATATATGCAACGATAATTTAAATACCTACATTTTTGTCAAAATGTCGATTTTGCATAATAACAGACTAATTAAGTAGTTCAGTTAGGTTATATATTCTAGAAAAGTTACTAAATAAATCAAATTAATATTTTCTGTTAGAATTTATACTAAATGAAATATTTACGGAAAAATAAAATATAAAAACAATAAAACGAAATTTTAATCCTTTTTATAAAAAATATCTATATTATAACAATGTACCTATAAGGTATCCGAATTCCAAAAATATCTGTTTCAATTTTTTTGCAATAATTAAATTATATAATAAAGTTCTGGTTCTAAACTTGTTTAGAAGGGTCAAGCTCTAGTCGTAAAAGTTTTAGCTATCAACTGGTTCCAACACTTGTCTAAGGTTTCTTGTAAGTTGTGACAATATAACATATTATATTATAATTCAACATAATATCATTATATCTCATCATATTTACCCAGGTTGACAGTGAGCGGCGGTTATGACGTGTCGCTGAGTGATCAACACGCCACCGCATTTGTTTTTGGTGAAAAGCCCCAGCCATGTAGCTTCTCTTACCAACACTTGCCATGGCCATTCGCCGAATGTCGAACCCGTTCCGCCGACGATCCGACCACCTTTCCTTACTAAAGGCCGCACTCCACACGCTAAAAGTGTGCACACAAGAAATAAAACATCACAGATTAATGTGGAAATAGGACGTAATATAATAAGTTATAATATTATTTCATATTTGGTAACATCGTTATAACATGTTATGCGAAAGAAAACCCGTTGTTGTGTATTGCCAAAACGATTATAATATTATATTATCTATCCGGTTTATGTGTACCTAATGTTGTACTCTCTGGACCGTTACATATCGTCACAGAATCGACATCATAGAAATCGTTTTCGCCCTACACACGCATAGTGTTATTTTATTTCCTATGCGAAAATTTGAAGGTGCCAATATCTTATACCATCAGTTACACTGACACACTGACTATACCTAAAATAGTCTCATGAAAGCTTTCTTCAAAAATTACACAATTATTAAAACCAAATTAGTATAAAATACAATGTAAAAATAATAGATTAATCATAAAAATGTAAAATATTAATCTATCCAGTTAATAATTAGAATTATAGATCACTATCATTGGTAAATCAATTAAAAGTGTTCACTCGGGTTGTTATATAACAATATAGGTACCTACATATTCTAATAAATAATGTTATAAATTTCGTGTGACGTACACTGTGTAAATTATTTGTGTAGTTATGCATTGTATAGGTAGTAGGTAGATACAAATAATATAATAATTAATAATTAATTATATTATTCAAGGTTGGTTAATATTATCTTATAAAATCTCATAGAATCTATATATTTCTTGCGAGTATACCTACCTACTTACGTCATTTCCAAGCGAAAACCTATATAGCATGGTAGATCTGATCTATTCAGTGATGATTTCTAAAACCAGTTTAATAATTATATACGCCAGACCATCGAAAAAYATTACCTAGGTACTCAAAAACCAATACATGATAACTAGGGCTCGGAAGTTGTAGGAATTGCATATTGTTCTGTATGATCTCAATTTATATTAATAGGAGACCTATTTAGCTATAAATTTTAAATATACAATTGCGAGTTAAAAAATTGAAAATTGAAAATGCATATTTTGCCAATTTTAGCTAAAAAGTGCATATTTCATTAATTTTATACACATATTATGCATATTTCATATTTTTCTAAAAATAATTGATTTTTTTCTTTCTCAACCTGTTTATTTCAACTAATATTGAATATAAAACTCAAAATGACCAACGAAGGTATTTATTGTCATCGCAATAGTCAATTACGGAGTTAATAACAGTGATGTACTGATATGATACGCATTTAGTCTATCACGCTAGTATGCCGAAATACTTATTTGTCTATCTTATCGTCGATAAGTTATCGTAAATATAATGATGGTTTCTTCGTTTATCGTTACTGTTGATTGCACACGATTGATGTTTGACAGTGACAGTTTCGTTTTAGACGTTACTATTGTTAGTATAGGTGAAGTGCGTATATTATTGTAATTCAGAATAATATTTTTGCATATTTAACATTTTTAATGCATATTTTGCAATTTTTTCATTTGCATGCATATTTTACCTTTTTTAGCTCCTACTTCCTAAAATTTCCGAGCCCTAATGATTACCATCGGTGTATGATATGTAAGAACGTTATTGTTAACACGTCAACGTATTAATTACACGCTAAAATATTGCAATAAATATCACCGTTAAGTTACCCATATGACTATTTGTAACAACTCTACAGTTGTGTGTACCGTATATATGGTATGAAAGATTGCTATTAAAATAAGTATTATAGCCGGAATTACTGGGTCGAGATGGCTTGCCGAAAAATAATGTCTCGTGTAACACATAAATGGTCTAGGGTATAATATTACCTATGTATTTATGTGATCTTATAATGTACATAATTCTTGTTTTCGAGGGGATGGAGACATATTATTTAAAAAAAAAAACAATCTTCTTATCGTTTATTGTACACGTTCGACTACTCTATTTTTTGTGACAGTGTAGGTACATGACTATAATCTAATTATATCTGTGCAATAGTGGATACGATCTCGTAAAAAACTACATCCGAAGGAACGGATACGTATTATGTGTCAAACAGATCAATTTTTCAACYAAAACCGGTACGCTTATTAAAATCTATAAATATAATTTATTACTAAATTATATAGCATAATCGAAAACCGGAATAACTCACAATTGTAGTGAAAAAAAATATTATTATTTCTACCTAACTAATCATATTATAATATGATATCATTTTTCTTAAAATTTWACTATTTCGCTTCACTAGTCACTACTCGAGTAGTACAATCGTACAATAAACTTTGATACAAGTATAATCTTCGGTGTATGCTTAGCCAACAGATATAAAACTTGATTTTTAGTCTCCATTTAGCATAATATATCATATAACTATAAAATTATACTCATAACATATCACATGAAAATGCTTATTTTATRACCTGAAAGTAATATGAAAATACAAGGTAGCCAGCAAAATATTATTTTTTTGTTTGGTAGGGGGGAAGGTTAACTAGGATATTTGAATATATGAAACTTTATTTGTTATTTTTAAAGGGGAGGAATCTGAAACCTCCCTTGCAACTGCTTTGTGAAAATACATTAAATTATGCTTAATCAATTACTACATAAACAAATCATTATTACTATATGTTTAAAAATCAAAATATATCGTAAGTAAATAAAAGAAAGACAAAATGTAGATCGAAAATATGATTAAGAATTTTCTCTCTTAAGTAATTTATTGTGACTACTGAAAGTGTATTGAAATTTAYCACTTAAAATATTTTCGCACCAACATAAATAGCTTAAATGGTATACCTGGCTGTCTTTAAAAACTCTCGCCCCTTCCCGTCCTTAACCAATCAAACTGTGTATTATRAACGTACTTTTCCTGTAGTCTGGTTCAGCTGTGGTGTGATGGTCGTGTTCAACGTTGAGCGTGTCCAACACGACGGTCGTGGAAGGCGTCTGCTTGACGGGCAGCTTGGTTGGACGCTTGTTGTCCGTTGCGTATGTTGTGGGCTGGAATAACTGAACTGGGGTAAGCAATGTCGGATACTTTGTAGGCCGAGATACAGTGGTCAGCTCCAAGTATGGTGCAGAATCCAGCAGTGAACTGATCGGAGTCGGCCGGTACGTTGTGGTGGAAGTCCACTTGACGGGCTGCGACGATGGTTTTGTGGGCTTCACAGCCGCCGGTTTTGATGGCTTCTTCGTRGGCGTAACGGCCGACGTCGCAGCGGTCGCGGGCTTCTTGTTCGGCCAGCCTGCCGGGTCGTCATTACTGATGGTCACGTTGGACGACGACGTGTCACCAGACAGCAAGACCTTTTCCAGGTCCTCGAAATTTCCCTGTAACGATTGGACAACCTTCTCGACGAACAGGTGGACCTTGTCATCCAGGTTATCATCGACCGTTAACTGAGGGTTTGGTTCAGCGTCAGCATCGTAATCGCCGGCTGAGTCGACGATGGTCACCTCCGGTTTCTCCTGTTGCGTGGCTGCAGTCAGGTTAACGTTGGGGTCACGGACCGGCGGGAAAGCAAATGTATCAGTGGAGTTGAACGGAACGGCGCTCACGTCATCGTCGGCAGTGGATCCATGCACCGCGGTAACCGGATACGAAGAGGACGACGTGTGGTGCTGCAAATGGTGGTGCAGTTGCTGCTGAATGTGGTGCTGCTGTAGGTGCTGCACGTCGGAGGCAGTGATGAACACTTGTGTTGCCGGCGTCACCACGGGCGTCGGATAATCATCATCGATGGTGGATGATGGTTTATATCCACCACTTGAAGACAGCACGGCCACCGTGCCACCATCGTTCACCRCGGGTTTAGCCGTTGAATGCGAGCTCGAGCCGCCGTTACCYGTACCTGTCGGCTGGTACTTGTGGTATTGATGGTTCACAGACGTTATAACCGTGGTGAATACGTTGTTGTTAGTGCCAGTGTCATGGTGCAATGCACTGCTAATCGTCGGTGGTGGCCCGGTAGTTGTGGTGGTAGTYGTCGACGAAGGCCGGTGCCCATAATTAGTGGACACCAGTGGCTTGGCTGAACTGTGTACGGCGCTAGTGGTCGGTTGATAATTGGCGTTGTAATATTTATCTGCCATCGTTGTTGAACTGACAGGCACGAAAGCTGCGTCTTGCTGGTGCTGGTGTTGAGGATGATGATAGGTGGCTGTGGTTGTGTACGCAGCGCTCACCGATGGTTTGCCCGTCACGATGATGCTCTGTGACGGTTTGACATGCGACGATGGTGGTGGACGGTACGAGGCAGCCGTGTACACCGTAGAAGCAGGTGTAGTATACTTGTTAGGATTTTTTGAATCGTTAGCTGGGCTYAGGACTATGACGGTAGGCGCAACGGGYTCCAAAGGCTTGGCCGTAGTTGTGGTGGATAGAACGTGGAAGTGCGGTCCCGGTAAGTGGTGACTGGATGTGGTGGTGGTGGTGGACGGCATCGATCCGTAATAGCTGGTCGGTCGGTCGTAATGCTGCTGCGTGGGCGTCGATGAATGGATGGTGGATGAAGGCCTGGTAACTGGGAACGTGGACGCACCGTAACCTGGTGATTTGGAATCGCCGTCGATCGAGCCCCAAGTGTATAGAGCGGGAGGCGGCGTGGGCGGTGGGTTACTCGACTGGTGTACAAGGTACGACGGCGAAGCGTCCATTGGGTCCACTTGATGCCTGTCTGGCGAGGGTGGCGTGTAGTTTAATATGGACAGTATGTGGTGTATAGAGTTGTTTTCCTTGGCATTGGGGTCATTAACCGTCAGCGTGGGTATCAGAACCATATTATCGTAGAAGTCGTCGGTGGACGTCGGGTGTTGTTGTTTGTGATGGTTGGGTTGCGTTCCACCATAACCCTGTTTGGACGTGGTCGCCTGTACAGTGGTCGCGGATGGCGTCGTTTTCCTAATGTTTGGTACCGAATCTGTCGATTTTGACACTGGCGACGACGACGACGACGACAAATACGACGGTAACTGCGACGTCTGCAGCTTAACAGTGGCCGCGTCGCCGTAATCCACTTTAGACGTGATCTTGTTTCCAGCAAAAGACGCTGGTCGGTGCGGGTGATGATTGAACTGGTGGTAACCTCCGTCCGTAGTGTACTGCTGCACGACGTCCGTCATGTCGACTGCCGGCGGTAACCGGTCGCGATGAGCCTGCACTAGGGCCGTGAAGTTACCGAACAGGTCATCCGGTCTATAAGTGTTTTGTACCGCTGACCCATTATGGTGCATCAGTATGGTGTCAGCCACCGGTTGTTGGAACGATATCGGCAGCAGATCGTTGTAGTGTGGGCCAGGTGTCGAGGTCGTAGCGGCCGTGGCCGTCGACGCGCTCTGGTCGATTGCGGCGGGAACTTTTACGCCAGCCGGCAATCGACAACAAGCGCCGAATAGGAACACGTCCACGCACGACCCGACCACCGAGCCGCCTAGTTGCGTGCATTCATAGTTGAACATGCACACGCCTGTTCCAGTTCCAGTTCCGGTGGGGGTGGTGATAGATACATCGTTCTTGTGCGGATGTGTGTCGTCTTTGCATGCTCGGGGTACGATTCGGTAGCCGCCAAACTTTCTACTGCTAGCTGAAAAAAGATAAATCATTGCGGACGTTACCAAACGATACCTCAATACAACGTTATAATATAAATACTACTAAAAAAGATACTACAAAATACTCGCATGGGGCAGATCACAAACGTTTATGCATAATACCTACTCAAAAAGATGGAATTCATATATCAAACCTTTGTTATAGCAGTCTGTAGAGAGAATCGCATATAGATAGCAATTTATTTGTAAAAACGCCTAACCCATAAACAAAAAGTAAGTGTACCATATTATTTATAAATCCTTCAAAAATGAATTAATATATTATCCAAAAATATTTTAAGGTGAAACTCAAGCAGTCAAGCACCTCGAATTTGATGTGAGTTCTACATATATTGTGGGTATATATGTGTATACAATATAGTTATTATACCAATAAATTGCGTATAGATTTTTGAGACCTGACGACAACTATTTATTAATTTTAATAATAATAAATGATATTATGATAAAATATACTCATACCAATTTTTACACATGTGTATAGGTATGACAGCAACATAAAGTAATAATAGTGTCACTAATGTGGCAATCATTTTTTCTGTCGTGGAAATAATATTATAATATCATGCTTAACGTTATTGTACTTTAATATCACCGGCTCTAGAGCATAATTATTCTACATTAAGAATACGTCAAACCTGCAAGTGTATTGTCTTCGTCATATAAACATAAAACATAGCAAATGTTTGTTCAGTAGAACTATTGTTTGTCGTTAATCGTTACCCTAAATATTAGAATAAATCGACTCATGATCAATAAAATTAACGTAAGGTAAGAACATTGTATTCTGTGCATCTCATTGGTTTTATATGTTTTTATTTTTAAGTTAGTTATGAGTAATTCTTATCAACAATTAAATTATCGAAAACATATGCTGGTGTGTCGTCTTTTTAATATAAATGTAATATTATATGTAACAGTTTTAATATTATACAAATATTTTTGTATAAATTGCTACAGTTTTACGGTTGTAAGACGAAGACAGCGCATATGCTGGTGTGTCGTCTTTTTAAAACCATCATTATTTTTTATTTGTAAATGTTTCTAATACATTTTTATTAATATTAATAACAAAATTATATATTTAATTTTTTTTTTAAATTTTATTTGAAAATGAACACTAGATGATTTAACATAGCCTACTCCCCCCACACTAGCGTATTATACCTCCGAGTCAAGTATGAATATACTTCAATAGATGACGAATGTGTGCTAAATCGACTATCGTTATATAGTGTATTCGTATAGGTATATTATTCTAAGCTGCATAATATATATTTACTCATCGTTTTACAGTGACAACTGTAGATAGTATATAATTATAAGAATGTTAGTATACCATAATACCATATTATGATGGTATGAGTAAAAGATTTTTAATTTCTGTTTATTTTCACACAAGAATGATAGCCTCTCTATTTGTATTTGTACTTAGATATTGAGTTCAAATTTGTGAAAGCTAAAAAACCACGTAAATGTACCTACATATAACACATAAATATAAAATACATGCCTATATTTTTAACATGACTATCATAATTTGAAATGAAAATAGATTAGATTGACCTGAAAACTGTCTCTTTGCATAATCAATTATCATTAGTTATATGGCATTGAAATATATTTCATATAGCCCATCCATTATCCAATAGCTGATAATCGATACTTGATACTATAAATTACTATTGTGTGTAAGGTATTGGAGCGAAAAATATATATAGATCATAGAGAGCGTTAAAAAATTAATTAAAATCGGCGAAAAAATGTTCAAGCGCTGCGCACTTCATCAACTACGCAGTAGGCATATATTGAAATGTGTACTTTGGTAAAAAGCTGGTGACTGTAACGAAGAAGACGATGACGGTTCTTTGTTGTAGACAACGTTAAATGTCAAAGTGTTGGGTGGCATCATGATGGTCAGCCAACAGTACGACAGCAGCCGAATAGCGGTCAAACGATCCTGGGACATGTTGAGGTATCATTCTGTAACAAATTTTCCAATCATTTACAGTAATATTCGAGTGTTAAAATATCATAAAAATATTAAGGTAATTATACATTAACAACTTAAATATTTTATACGTGAAGCCGTTTTAAGTACGAATAATCATTAGATATTCAGATCCTACATCGCCAATTTACAGCTTTTTCATATCTGTCTATCCACTGACCCATTTTTAATCATTTTTAATTTTTTAAATTTCCAATAAGTCTTTAGACTTCATAATTTAAAAATCAACTTCTAATTGCAAAGATAACTTTTAAAAACAATTCCCTGTATTATTGCCGAGTGCTTATATATTAATTTTATAAAAATAAAATCAATAATCAATAATAAATATAAAGTAGGTACCTATAGCCTGGAATTCAACTATAATAATATATTTTGTGAAGTCTATTAAAAATTCGCGATCCCATAATTTGAGATCGAAGCGTACAGTATAACTCGCAGAGATTATAAAATATATCATTAAAGATAATAATACCATGATATTCGAAGTCTAAGCATTCCTAGTCGAAGACGGTTTAATTTATTTTTAACGTGTCGTGTCTGTATTTAGGTCCACCGTAGACCGCAGTACTTCTGAATCATTGAAAGTGTGTTGGTCGGGTGTGTTCAATGTCAACAAACACATATATACATATAATAACACGTGTACACATAGATCACCTCAATATTGTTCAAATCTAGCTTAATATGTTGATTTGCAGCGGTTTTCGTAGAATGTTGTCGCGCTGGTTCGCATTGTTCGCAAAATATTACCAACAGAAATGTAGACGCTTGCATATTATGTATTTGCGAGTTATTGTCATTAATGCCAGGGTATTTATTATATCTACCAATTTTATTGCAGACGCGTAATGTTTTAACAACCCTATAACTATTGTCACGGCCATGTAGCGTAAAATCGAAAAAACGAAATCAAACTGTGTGACTAATCGCAATAATAAGAGTACCTCCAAAACGCTCGTCCCAAACGACATTGTGTATTGTACACGTCGATCGTTTACAATTATATCCATTATCCGGGATCCGATGGATTAGCACGTCAATCAGATTGTACCTATATTACTTATAAAATATAACACAAAATGCGCTAATAACAAACGCGATGTACGATGTTCGCAAAAAAAGATTGTCGCCTACGTAAGTGACAGTTAGGTACGTGAGGCCGAAACCATCTGATTCTACAGTTAATTTTTTTTTTTTTATGTACACGAACACTGTACAGATGGAAATCGATATGTAAGAATGATAAAATTTACCGGAGATAAATAATTTGAAATAAGCTGGAAAACTATCTATGTAGTTCAGACGTTATTTATTATAATATTATGTTGTCATTAAGCCCGAAAACAGAGTTTAAAAAAACGTGAATACTTTTTAAAGTTATTGGTTATCACGCCATGAGGTAATGATGGCTGCAACGATCGTTATATTACTTATTAGTTATTAAAGAACGATACTTGTTAAAAATATTTTCGAAATATGTTTCATATTATGAGGTATGTATTTAAATACTTCAATATACTTTCTAACTAATTAAACACAAAACTAATTTAATATTTTTAAATCTAACTTGTCTATGAGAGCTGTTGAGGACCAACATTTTCCAAGATAAGATTTGTGTGTGTACATTGCTACATAATGTTTTTTGTTCTTCTATTAATTGAATATAAAGCTAACAAATTTAGCAAGAATCGGATTTTATCGATTGGTCACTCTGGTTTTTTTTTGTATTAAATAAAATCACATAATAACTACTAGTTGGTTTATATCATTAAAATGTGTGTCGTTTAATGTGGATTGGTGTGTGTTTGACGTACTTGTACTCATGACAAACAAGATTATAAGTAATATTAATATTATTTATAAGTAGTATTATTTTCATGCTCGTACTGACATTATTAAATTGTGTTAATTATTTTATTGTGTTTTGATTTTGAACATGGATAGATTTATTTTGGTAGGTTGTTGTATTATCATTAATTAATATTTTAATGAACAGTTGTTTGTTATTGAAAATATTATACTATTCAATATCGTGTTATTTTTTATTTTATATACTAGGTAACATAATTTAATTAAAGTGTACCTTTGTTAGTTTTAAAATTATATTTTTTCCTAAAAAGTTGATTCAGTTGTATTATCATTAATTAATATTTTAATGAACAGTTATTTGTTATTAAAAACATATTATTTTGGTAATTTGTGTTTTTCTGTATGTATAAAAATTAAATCAAGAATAATAACTTAAAATAATTAAATTTAAGATTCCAAGGTGAAAGAATTTAATTGTTGTTAAAAATTCAGAGTAATAATAACAAAGTGCCTAAAGTAGAGTAGTAATACCAACTTACCTACCTATTTTAAAATGTGGGAATTTCATATCTTCATGGTACAAACAAAATTTTTTATGTACGATAATTTGTTGAAAAATATGATAATTTTGAAGTCAGTATGCGATAATAATATCATTATCAAAACCTGGCAACACTGATAATAAGTGTTAAAAACGTAAATACTTTACAACTGTTCTAACAATGTGTGCATATAATATGTAAACAAAACAATTAATAATGACTATTGTCACATTGTAAAATTGAACAATGCTTTCAAACTGAGCTACAACCGTTTTATAATAGTAAATCGGGAAGCGATCATCGTTAATCTATTAAATGAGATGCGATTCATGTAATATGATTATATAAACACCTGCCTTCTGCRAATTAGTCGATTATTACTCATTAGTAGGTACCTATATACCTTGGTACCTAATATAACAAACATAATCAGCATGTGGTTTAGAACGTGATTTTGCATCCCAYAGGCTATATAATTTTACTATTACAAAAAGTGGTATTGTTATAGGTTTAAGACATCCACAAATACTGTAAATTTTAATATTAATTTAATTCGTTTGACCTCYTCAAATTCGTAACATAACTCCGAAAACATAATATAGGATAGTCATGTCGTATGTATTATCGTCTATCAGTACTTCTCTGCGATAAATTTATTCACAGCTAAAATAATACACGATGTTAGTTAAACATCAAAATATACCTATTAATTGAATTTTTAAACTAGGACACTATCAATAACACGATGTGCAAATATTATTGAATTTATAATTACGTCTAAGATATAATTTACTAAAAAAAAGTTTTTTTAAACAAATGAAGTCTTCTGAAAAAAACTGTTGATCTAGATAATACAATAAGAATTCAAAGTAGACGTTTTTTAGAAATTGCAATTTATAGAATAAAGTTTTAATTTTGTATACAATTATATATTATATTTACCAAAAGCTATTAAAGGACGTACCACTAGCATTTGTTGTCTCCATCTTACAAGTGCGTATAACATAACAAATTTACGCCCARCAGATCAAGTGTAGATTCATTAATTTAAAAATTAGAGTGAATCTATCTCTTATGAAACTTGATTGTAAAAACATTATCTGTGTTTTTTGTGAGTTTTTTTACAATAATTTAGTTTTTAATTGATTTATATGAACATTTTAACTGTATGATATATTACATAAGAAAAATTTACTAAAAAATGTAACTATTGTAAAAAATATGGTTAGCTTATTATGGTATGCTTAGCTAAAAAATGCCAGTGTAACGTCCCCTTAAAAATAATAATTAGTAGATAGGTCAAAGATCAACTAAAAAATCAGCTAATATTAAAATCATCTTGAGTTAATGAACAGTTATATAAATGAGTAGTTGTAATAAAATTGTATGTTAACATTGTCAACTGTTAAGAACATTAAAAAATAAACACCAAATATATAATGTATATAATCAATACACAAAAGTGTTACATAACATTTTTTTAACATTTCTACCACTCAGAAATGTATTCAATGATATTATAACAATAAAAAAATATAATTGTAAAACCATTACATTTAAAATTGTAATAAATCTTTAAAACTMAAGAAGTTATACATCACAAACAATTCATACAAATAACAATAATATTGCTTGAATTTAAAAAGAATTTCCCCGACCTATAAATTGTTGAAAATTCTTAGAAATTGTAAGATAATTATGAACATTTAAGTCCTAATTTAAGTGTTCTCAAAATTCCCGTTACTTTTCAAAACATCAAGAAATACAAAAAATGGGAGATTTTACAAAAAAAAACAGTTTTTTAACAAAATTGATTTTTTATGTGATAATTGAAAAAATAATAACCGTATACTGTAGAGACATAAAATTGTCATAAATATTTATATTTACTCTTTCTAGACACAATATTATTTTTTAAATATTTTAGTTATTAATATCTTTTCACTGATATTTGAAATTTTTTTTTATTTTCTATGAATATTAATAATAAATTTATGTTGTGTATCAACAACACAATTACTTAAATTGTATCATGAATTTAATATTTTTTAAGTATTGATGCCACGAACTTATTTAAATCAACTTATAATTTAAAAGCGATAGTAAATTATAAAATCTAATATTATATTTAAGATACATTTAATGTTTTTAACGAAAATTTGTTCAACATGCCATACTACTAACATAAATATAAATTATGATAATATATATAAAAATATTAACTATAAAATATATTTAAAATTAGAGGATGACAYTCATCCGTCTCTACTCAGAATCATTGTTCGTATGCAATGAATTATCATTGAAATAACATTTAACATGTCATCTATTACGGTGACCTACTGAATRAAGAGCCACATATGTTCGAAACCTATAATACAGTGGAGTAACTATTACACTGGTTGTTTTTTATTGATAATTTCAAAAACTGTATTACTGCAGCATTATTKAATAGTAATAATTGTCTTTCACAATACAATTAATAAACACATAAAAGTTCATATGCTGATRTTTATTCAATATCAAACTAGGATTTAAAAAAATTATTTATAGCTATAAAAAAATTACATCAAAATTGAGTTTAATTTTATTCTTAATGTTTTAAAAACCAAACAAAT